TATATATATACATATATAACTATATATATATATATATATATACATATATAATATATATATATATACTCACATACATATATACATACATACATACAAACATAAATACAAACATACATATATACATACATACATATGTACATACATACATATATACATACATACATACATATATATATATATATATATATACACGCGTGTGTGTGTATGTAAGTATCAGTATATGCGTCACAGACATCCAATATATGCATGTGCCCATCAAACCTCCCGTACGTAAATATAAGCTATGAAAGCTACTTTGGAATAGTCCTTAGAAACTCATCCGCGTATGGGTTCACATCCAGCCGATATGTATATGTATCCAATAAAGCCCCGTTCGTACAAAGAAACATTGTAATCTACTTCTCAATAGTCCCTCGTAGAAACACACCCGCGCGCAGAAGCGAAATCTTTGTCTTCTCGATGTCCGCACCCGGCATGTCTATCTTATTAATTGCCACAATAATCGGGACGCCGGCTTCTTTGGCGTGCTTTATCGCTTCCACCTGCACCGGATACGCAAATTTGGACCAGCGAAAATTAGGATCCGCATGAATTTGAGCCTATTCTCCAGCGAGAGATGGATATATTGCACTACTTCTCCCCTCCCAGATATATTTGTCGAATATAGTCTCTGAACCCATATCTCGAAATTCGAGCTGACGATATTCACCATTTACATGTTAATGTACGCTGATATCTATGCTAACTAGGAGAAGAACATAACCTTATTCCGAATAGCAATTGGCAGACACACACTCACGGCACTTCACTACTAACACGCCTCCAGCGCATGGCACCCTTCAGTTGACGCTAGTGCAAGTATAGCTATACCAATGCACTCAGTGCTGCAGCATACGAATATGCAACTAGACACACCCACAAGCATACAACCCCAATACCGCAGGCTATGTATGTATGCGTGTTTGTCGGTACGCTGTCCCCAATAAACCGCCGTCACAGCCTCACTTATCACCTCCAATCAGACACAACCCGAACTCAGAACCAACGTACCGTCTGGGCTTGGCACCCCTCAGTTGCAGCCACCACGAGAATGGCTATGTCAGTGCACTCAGCGCCTCGCTTCCGCATATCTGTGAAAGCCTCGTGCCCAGGGGTGTCCAAGAACGTAATCTCATCTCCATCACTTGTTGTAACCTTGAAGGCACCTGTTATATGTGGTATAGTAGTATCAATGGGCATGATGTGCGTGGTCTGGGTATACGCTTGTGGGGCTGCACTCTACCCTAACAAGCATATCCGTGACGGCTCTCATGTCAGGTGTATCTATCTACGCACGTGGTCTCATCTCCAACACGTTTCTGTCTCCCGGGTAACCACATTCGCCGCGCGCCGATAGTCCAGCAGTGGATATACAAAGTCCTTAACACACACCACAACCAACTCCATACACAGCCCACACCACCCACAGTACCCCAGTACACACACAGGCATGCACACGAGGCATTCGCATTCAAAGACGTACACATACACGCCACCACCAACACCTACCAATGTGTTGGGTGATACACCACCTTATCACCTACCAATGTGTTGGGTGATACACCACCTTAACACCTACCAATGTGTTGGGTGATACACCACCTTAACACCTACCAATGTGTTGGGTGATACACCATCTTATCACCTACCAATGTGTTGGGTGATACACCACCTTAACACCTACCAATGTGTTGGGTGATACACCACCTTAGCACCTACCAATGTACCTACCAATGTGTTGGGTGATACACCACCTTAACACCTACCAATGTGTTGGGTGATAGACCACTTTAACACTTACCAATGTGTTGGGTGATACCCCCTGCCTCGCCGGCAGCCACATTCGCCGTGCGCAGGAAATCCAGCAGAGAGGTCTTGCCGTGGTCCACGTGGCCCAGGATGGTCACTACGGGTGACCTGGGCTTGAACTTGTCGATGTTCTCGTCTGCAGGCCTGTGATCAGTCAAGAGTAGGGGGTAGGATGGGTGTGAGGGTGAGTGTGAGTCAGAGTAGGTCTGTACTTGATGATTGGTGCTATATTTAGAACTGTACATGGGTACAATGCTGGTGGCTGACGCAATGGTGTGTGCAATGCTCTCTCACCTGCTTACCTGTACCGAGTATGTATACAGGAACATAATCAGGCTAGATCATACCCACAGACCAGACCATACACGACCTTTACGAAGTATAACAACAAAAACCTCACCTTTTCAATTGATTCTGCGTAAAGGCTATTTGCTCTGGATTGTGTCCCATTTCCTCCACAATAAGGACAGCTTCCTCGTAGGGCAGGATGGTTTCGGGTTTGTATGATCGGTCGCCCGTTTTGTGGTGCAATCGGGCCATGAACGGACCTAAAATCGCGGGATAGGGGCTCAGATGAATACCGACGTTCATGTCGTACACATAACGTTCTATTTTTTTTTGGCCGAAAACATAATAATTTCAACGTGAATCGCCCGTGTATTAGTGTAATTGAGCTACGACCATAACAGAAGACTCCCATCGGTCCTATGTAGACATGCATGACTAACACAGAGCACATTCTAGCTCCGACGTAAGCACAGTACAACAAGAACGACCACGTCTGACTCAGGAGTACCGAAATACAGAAACATAGAGGTAGGAGAAGTTGTACTTGACAGAGAGAGACGGAAGCTACACACACGCACATGCACATTATTTTCATATTCATCAAGAGCTATATACAGACACATGTACACCACTTTCATAAATCCAAAGATAAGTGCGTATGTGACTACATCTATACAACTCCAATGTCAATTAGATGTACTGGAATGGCATACAACAGAACACACCTATACTCTCGCCGCTTTGTAGTATAACATCCATCACAGACGTGTTTTCACTCAGCATTATATTCCGTGGTACAATTTTGGACGGTTTTTTCTTTTTCTTCTTTTTGTGTTCGTAAAAATCATCGTCGTCATCACGGCTCCTCCTTCCTTTGTTCATACCTTTGATACGCATTTCACTGTGGCCAATCAAAACCAGTTTATTTATAGCACAACACCGTAGCGTTGCCTGGCACCCATACGAACCCCAACCCCAGACTCGAGAGATCACTACAGCAACCACTGACCACATTGTTCCAAAAAGATATTCGGATCTTTGAAGACCGTCTGAACTAGTCATAGTCTTTAACGGTATGATTCTTCATAGCAGCTACCTTTAAGAGCATGTACACGCTAGGCAGATGTACACACACGTGGACACACAACATAGGGACAGTGTCTCGGCATGGACGGTGTTTTTGCACACGCACAACACAGAAGAACTCGTCCACTTATTTACCAGAAAACTACATACTATCTGCCTGAATACAACCGTACACACACATGTGTGTATAAATACAACCGTACACACACATGTGTGTATACGCTTGATAAACGCGTTGTTCGACTTACCCTCCATTTAGATCGTCTTCGTAGTCGTCGTAGCGGCATGCGATGGAGGTGTGGAATCCTCTGGGGTCGTTAACCCCTTTGTGGAAGTCCCATGAGCGCGTACGTAGAGTGTGTGGTACTGCCTGATATGAATAAATAGGCACGATGGATTAAAAACTTTGTATTTGATGTGGTATGTATTTGGTAGGTTCTGCAGATTCAGTTGTCAAATAGAATTCTACAAGCAAGTATGTCGGTAGGTATGCGCATATGTAGATCTGAAACCTTCCAGCAGTGAGCATCCACACATATAAAATTACATACCCGGATATATGTGTGCAAAAAAAAACTCACGCATAGCTAGATCCAAATTTAATTCTTGCCTATATACATGTAATCATGCATAAATTGAATTGAAAAATTAAAGGCATATGTATACGTAGGTAAGATGCTCATATATATATATATATATATATATATATATATATAATAACTACACACACACAATATATATATATATATATATATATATATATATATATATATACATAACACACACACACATATATATATATATATATATATATATATATAATATATATATATA